TGCAAAAGGATTCACATTTCCAACCAACCACACTTTATATACAATAGATTTATCAATAACAAGGTTTGTGCTACATAAGAAAGCATATTACATTCAACGATATTGTCCAACACAACCAAGTATCCAAGGGTGATGATAGTGCATTTTATCCCACCTATGTAGCTATGCACATCCAATGCACATCAATCTGATAACTAACAAAATCCACCCAATTGGTTCTATGCTTTCCCTATGGCATTTCTAGTATATACATCAAGTAAAATTCATAAAAAATGATCATAGTTAACTTTTCACTTACTGATGCCAGTGACATTGACCATGCTCCACTGCACCTCCAGTCATCCTTCCTACCTGAAGCTGCCACATAAAGACACCATTTTAATATATTGCATATAACACCAAATCAAAAAACTAATAGTCAGGGCAATGCTTGGTTCAGGATTGAATGTCAAAATATACAAATATTTCCATATCCTACAATACTTTCATCTAAACAATACTTCCTATAACTATTACCTTAATCAAAAGTGAGATGTTATTACAGGAATTCTTCGAAGTCTTGGGCGTCTACATCGCTGCTAACTCGAACCTCATCATTATCACCAGTTGCATGTTCCACATTCTGTCTATCGCACAAATCATGATCATGTGTTGAGGATATATAAAAGAAATCACGTGGTCTCGTTTTGATTGCAACATGCCATTTAATATATGTTGGATCTTGTACATATAACACTTGTAGTGCTTATGATGCAAATGTAAAGGGGTCACTCGCAAACGAAATCTTATTCAAGTTAACCAATCTAAAGCCATATTTGTATGTTTTTACTCCCTAACCAGTATTTCTGGAAGTGTCATCAAACCAATTGCAGTTGAATAATACCATTTTGCGTTCCATATGGTACTTAATTTCAAATACATCAGTCAGAACCCCATAGTAGTCTACCAACCAATAACAGGGTTCGATCACGTGGGCTAGCATAACTTGGAACATATCTTCACTGGTGTGTCAAGACATGTAAAGCCTTTGCAAGCGAGGTGTAATAGGAAAATATGTTAGCAAATTCCGAGGTATTCTCTTTTTACCGCTTGGCACTGTGTCATCTACCTCGGTTGTATATCTGAACACACCACATGTATGACAAACATCTAAACCATTGTTATGTTTCCAATACAGCTGCAGTCATTTTCACATGCATGGATCTTTTGGTGAGGCAACATGAAATTTTTCAACAATGCCTTTGTACTCATCAGCTTCTTTGGTAACGAATGACCATTTGGGAGTACATGTTTGAAAAGCTAAAGATTAGCTTGCACTACATTTTCGATGGACCCATATAAGCACTTGTTTTGAAATACTCGTATAAGGAAATCCATTTTCTTCATACCACAACTCGGATATAATTCCATGTTGGCGTCTTGCACCATGGCTTGAAACTTACGTGCATATGCAAGTATTGGACTTCCTGACTAGTGTGATTATTAATAGGCATGCCAGCCATTCCACTGGGACCCGAGAAAATATCTTCAAGCAAGGGGCCTAGTTCATAATGAGGAGTATTAACACCAGCAATTTGTTGTGTAGCTTGGCTACTTGGAAGAGGGTCGCCAAATGTCTCTCCATGCCATACCCATGGGCCTTCCATGTATGAACGGTCCATACCTTCAACAATTAGATGCGCTTCGACTTCATTGTTAATCAACCAAAACCTATTCAAGCATTTAGCACATGGACATTTGATGTTGCCATCTTGAGAAGATACTTCCAATGAGTTTGAGATAAATTTTGCTAGCCCTATTTTGTAATCCTATGTAAACAAATTCAAAGTGGCCCAACTTTTGTCCATCTTTCTTAAATATAATCAATAGTTTCCAGAATTGGAATAATAAGGTGCCTACTGATTAAGAAGTCAAGTAAAATATGTAACTAAAACAAATTAAGTAAATATAGTATGCGAATAAAGAGACAAAAATTTACAAACGCAACTACAAGGGAGAGTATATATTGTACGAAAGAATCATTGGTAATAGGAAAATAAAAAATCAATCAATTTTATGAGTGACATTGTATGTATGAGACTTGCAATAGATTTTAAGGTGCATGGGATAATAAGAAGTTCATATAATTCACCAGAAGAAGGAAGAAAATATTTCATATACTCAATATTGTCAGTCAGGTAGTCATTAATATAACGAAGCTTACAAATGGGGAACAAAAGGGGCCAGAAACTAGAAAGCTGATAAGAAATTCTTTAGTTGAACCCTAAAACGTGAGTAATTGAAGAATCAAACAAATTAAGAAGCATGATAAACAAATTGAATAGTTTGACATGAATTTTATTGAATATTAAATATAAGAAACCAAAAATTACCTGCTGAAAATCCCCTAAATCACTTCTATGTCTTGCAACCCCAATTTGATAGTACGAAACCCAACTGAAAAAAAAATGAACCGAGGAGCTGTATCTGTTGAGGAATTGAGAGGGCAAGGTTTGAGAAGAAAATAACCAGCATCCTGCAAGTGGAGCTTCCGCTGCCACGCCTATCGCCAACTAAACAAGGCCGCTCACCGTCTTGCTCACTACGTCATGTTCGTATCCTGCGAGTGCTCCTAGTTCGAGGAACCGCCCGACTTCATCACTGATGTAATACTGGCCGAGAGATGCTATTAAGGTCGAAGGCTCTGTCCTTCTATAGGTTTTGGCCTCTATCTCCCTTTTGTTTTTCACTTGCATCTATAGGTTTTCTTCTCCCCTTGCAATATATATCGCAACTTTCAAAAAAAATAATAATAATAATAACCAACACCACTTTGATGCTTAAAAAATAAATAATAAAATTAAAATGCAGAAGAAAAGTATTTTTAAGAAATAAAGTTATTTAACAGACACCAATAGTTGGTGTCTCAATTTTGAAGGCCACCAATATCAGCGGCATCCAACTATAAAGACACCCAAAAAAATACTAAGAGTGCATGCTTTATGTCTGTGGTCACCAATTACAAATGGTGTGCAAATATCGGTGTCCTATAGCCATAATTCTAAGTAGTGGACATTTACCAAAAAACAACTTGGGAAATTAGCCAAAATGATCATATTCCAAATCTCAATTACTGAAATTATTAGTTTTCCAGTACTTCATGGATATCTGATCACTATGTCATCAATCTCTTATCGTTATACATAAATATCTAATTGATACATTGTCGATATTTAGTTTTTATCAATTTAACAGTTGAGATTTGATTTCTAATCATCTTAATTAATTTCCCAAAAAGGGGAAATCTTTCTGTACAAAATCCGGTTGGATTCACTCTTTGTATAAAGTGACAGTCACACCCAAAACTTAATGTCTAAATGCTGGTTTGGTATTACTATGCTTTGAAAAAAAACTGCTTCTGCTGTGCTATGAGAATAAGCTCATTTTTGCTGCTTCACGTTTTCAGCTTTTTTTCACCCAAAACTGTAAAAATAAGCTGTTTTTAATTGTTTACCAAACACATTTTTAAGCTCAGTTTTTTTTATACCCACTTTTTATAAAAGTACATCAGTACCAAATTAGTCCTAACCACCATTTAACTTCTCAAACCATTTATCCTGAAAAGATGAAGAGTTCAACCTCTCCAACACTCATATTTCTCATTCAAATTGTTTGTCTAGTTGTCTTTCTTCCAACAAGCCATTGTCGATCGGTTTTCTTCCCAAGGGATGATGCCAATCTGATCGACCAAACATGCCAACAAACACCAAATTACGATCTCTGCGTCTCTTCTCTTCAATCAGACCCTCGAAGAGCCGACGCAGATGTCAAGGGCTTAGGCATCATAATGGTTGATGTAGTTAAGGCTAGGGTAACTGAAACCCTAAACCTAATCGAGCTGCTTAAGAAGAGCCCGGGAGCTGAAGCCTTAAGGTCTTGCAACAGAATCTACAATGCAGTTTTAGGAACTGATATCCTAGTAGCCAATCAAGCTTTTGTTAAAGGTGACTATGACATAGCAGGCAAGTCATAAATGTTGTTGGCGTCAAGGCAGATGCTTGTGAAAATGGTTTTACCGGCGGCGGTGGCGGTTCTCCTTTGTTAGATATGAACAAAGCCATCCTTGATCTTGTAGCTGCGACAGCAGGAATTGCCAGGACATTGTTTTGATCTATTAATTTTCTGTTGCAATAAAGTAAATTAGATAATAATCAAGTTTCTTGTCTTCTAAAAGGGAAAAATAAATTTAAATTTGGTTCTAATTTTTTGAAACCTAACCTTAGTATGGAAATAAATTTTCGATTAAATAGCAATTAAATATTTTTCCTATAAAGAATAAACTATTTGAAAAGAAAATCACCAACTTAAAAAATGAATCAGAGCATTTATTGATCCTATCCCTATATATAATGTGGGTGTATCCGTGTATATATATATATATACTCTTATTGTTGACGTATTCGCTAATAAAGGTCGGCCGCATTAAAGAAATAATTAATTTTGTGTATTTAAATAGTGTTATTATTTGTATGATATTAACAATAAAACAGATTTTTTGACCAAAAAATAAAAGGTAAATTAATAAAAATAGCTTGAAAACTGTGAGTTTTAACGATAAGGACAAAATAAAGCATAAAGTGACTTTTTGGTGAAAAAATATGGTTTTTCGTTAAAGTAAACAGTACCGGAAGCTTTTCTTTAAAGTTCCCATAAAAAAAACAATACAACACATTTAAGCTGCTGGTTACCTTTGTCCACTAATTGATTTGTGCTGATATGCTAGCCTTTGCGAATAGCAGTAGATTTTGTGAGCATCTTAAAGACGACACACATAGGAAGCATCTCACAAGGCATGGTAAGAATCATGTCGGATTTTCTCATTAAGAAAGTTAATCAAACCAGATTTTTCACCATCCAGACAACAAAGTTTCATACTACTATATAAAGAGACTCACATCTTACCAAATGTTGTACTAATTAATCTGTTTCTCCATATATCATCTCCAAATCAAGCATCTACCAAAATTTTCTAAACCCTTTTTTCTTGCTTGGAAACATGAAGAATTTAATCCCTCTAGCACTCACTTTTCTCATACAAATTTCCCTTCTTCCGGTAAGCCAATGCAGGCCGGTTTACGTGCCAAATGACGCCACTCTTATTGACCAAACATGCCAAAAAACACCGGATCACAACCTTTGCGTCTCTTCTCTTCGATCAGACCCTCGAAGCTCCAGTGCAGACGTCAAAGGCTTAGGCATCATAATGGTTGATGTAGTTAAGGGTAAGGCAACGGACACATTGAACCAAATTAATGACCTTCTTAAGCAGAGGCCTGGTGACAAATCATTGAGCTCTTGTGCCGAAGTGTACAACACAGTTATAACAGCTGATGTGCCGGAAGCCAGTCAGGGTTTTAGTTTGGGTAACCCTAAGTTTGCGGAGCAAGGCATGAATGACGCTGCCGGCGAGGCTGTTTCGTGCGAAAATGGTTTTTCGGGGAGCTCTCCTCTGACGGATAAAAACAAATCTGTTCATGATGTTGCCGCTGTGGCTGCTGCAATTGCCAAAACTTTAGAATAGTTTGTTCCTTCATTTAGTTTTGTGTTCATCTATGGCGCCTTGGTAATTAACTCAATAAATCATTACAGTATCTAAAACCTTTTGTGTGATCTAGCTAGATCATCATTATCATTAACTTTATATGAACATGTTAACAACTTACCACACTCGAATCATTACATATTAATTTGATAACCAAAATTGCATTCCTTGGACTTGCAAATCAACGTTATTGTTAGAATGTGAGCATCCAACTTAAATTCAAGTGGCAACGAGGTGAATGCCCCAACATAGTTGAGGCTCTTATGACTTATGCCAGACTTCCATCCTTCGATGTGGGATGCTCTCAACACCCTTAGTTTTGTTGTGCCTAACACATGAAAAATACATTAGTTAGAACTTAGAACATGCTTTGGAACTGGAGAAATATATGATACTGATGAATAGAGTTTATTAAAGAACGGATTATGTTGCATTACTTGAACTAGTCCAACTATATATGGAACAAACATCAGTTGGTTATCAAAGAAATTTTCCATATGCTATTGATTATTTATTTGATATTATTAAACAAATCGACATGTTATCAATATATTTTTCTGCTTGTTGTTTAGCTTTGTTCCTTATTATTACTATTTCTTTCCATTGAGGCCAAAACTTGAGGAAATTAAAAATGGTGCTAATAACCGAATCATATATATTCCTCCAATTTTCTCATTACTTATACTTGAGCACCAAAGAAGAAGAATAACTTCCTGCTCAATGGTGACAATATTTCAAGCCAATCACGTACTGTCGTGTGAAAAAAATTATATAAAAAAGTGCCAATTTGTGATTGACTTTTCGAACCGTCTCAATAGCATCTTAGGCGTAGGTAAGTTTTTCTTGAAAATAGATGGCAATGCCAGAATGACACCAAAATACTAGACATGTGAACCAACACAAATGTAGACGCAATTGGAACTCATAGGCACATGATTACAAAAAGCGCCTACAAGTGGCAATCAATCAATCTGCCAATTGATGAAATTGAAACATGAGTATAAGTTGACTGCCAACAGAATCAGAACAAACAATCCCAACAAAGTTTCCATTTTTCTGTTCCCATCTCAGAAGATGAGTAGCTCAATCTCAAGATTCTCAACCCTTCCTTTTCTACTCATTGTTTTACTCATTGCACCCCCAACAACCCAATCATTTTTTCTTCCATCAGATGAAGGCAATGATCTGATACAAACAACATGCAAAAAAACACCCCACTATGATCTCTGCCTCTCAACCCTCCAATCAAACCCCGACAGCTCAAACGCCGACGTGCCGGGATTGGCCCGGATAGTATCCGATGCTCTACTGGCAAATGAAAGTGACACACTGGATTACATCCACGGCCTGCTGAAGCAGTCCCCGGAGGCAGATTTGCAGAAAGCATTGGCAAACTGTGCTGAGTTGTACATCCCAGTTGTGAAGTTTAGCCTGCCGCAGGCAATTGAAGCAATGGGAAATGGGCACTTTGGGTTTGCAAAGTACGGGATTTCTGATGCTGCAAAGGAGGCTGAGGCATGCGAGAAGGGTTTTGGAGGAGTGAAGTCTCCTCTCACTGATAGGAATGCTCTTGTGGATGATCTTTCTGGTGTGGCTGTTGCCATTCTCAATTTATTAAAGGGTTGATTTTTCCCTATCTTATTATTAGGAAAATGATAAATGATAACCGCACGTTCTTTTTCTCCTTCTACATGCTTTGGTTTTATCTATGTCAATTTTTCTTTAATTTGCTCAATTCAAAGATAAAAAATAAAAACGAGATAAAAAATAAAAACGAGTGTGCAGAAATCACTTTCCTAATATTATAGTTAGTGAGTATTTGTGTGATGTTGCTTTTCTTTTGCAGTTTTTGTTTGTACTTGTACCTGCTGATTCAGCCACTGAAATCAGAGTTATATTCTCTTCATGTTCCTTTGTGGGATAAGATGAGATGCAAACTTTTTTTCAACTGTTTTGAAGGGTAGGTTTGAAGAAGATCTTATATGAAATGGACTTATAGTTACGTGATATTTTTTATTCAATGATGCATTGTTTTTCTCTACGTGATAATGTGTTGTTGAATCAGAACGTCTTGTGACTGTAAATCCATTTTATGTAAGTTATTCTCGTAAATTCTAAACTGGATTGGGCCGAGTCAAGTTTCCGTAGTGACCCTATGTGGTCATGTCAGGTGCGAGGACATGACAGGCTATTAGGTGCTAGATCGTACGTGGCATGAACGAAGAAAGGTGAAATGCCTTATATGTCACATCTTCATTGTAATGAGGTGTCTGAGGATGAAGGCCCAAGAACATATGAACTCAAATTATAGATCAAGTTTTTTGTTTATCCATACGATTGAAAATACAGTTTCAAATTAGAACGGTAGAGGAAATGCCATACGCAGAAAGGAAGAGACACATAAAATGGTAAAGGAAAATAAAGCTTTTTCACACTTTCATTAATCCATGAACATGGTCGATATTGCAAGGTCGAGAATTTGAACATCGAGTGGAAGAGTAAACGCTCTTGCAGACTATAGCCTAATTTTCTGCTTAACTGGATCAAGATTTGCCATATCCTTGAGAATTATTTGTGATTTGCATTTATACATGTTGTATCATCTCAAAGATTTCCAGATTAAAAGATTTGGTTACTGTATACATGTGAAGGCAAATGGTATCTTGTGATGAATTGGGACCCTTCCTACTTATGTACAATTATTTGCCGGAAACTCACGGAGCAATTATACTGAGAGCCGCTTGACTACTAGAAGAAGCGAACACCCTGTGAAATCACATGTTATATGTGGCACCAATGCCTCAAAGCATGTTAAAAGCACACCCTGGCCAAAAGCACATCAACAAAAAGAAAATAAAAAGTTCAATGGGGGAACCTTAGCATGCTGCATGCACCCTAAGAAACGCAACATACGCCAGAATAACAACTGACACGTAACATTGTATTATTGGTCGGAATTCCACAGTTAGGGTTTATGCAAGCCGTTCCAGTTAAATGGGGTTTTCTATTGCCAAGTTTCCACAATCTTTCCCTTGCTAAAACTGTTTTGTAGCCAAAATGTGTACAAATTACATACCGGACAATGAAGAGATTCGTATTTTGGTGCAAAAAGAGGCACGCTAGCCTGACTAACTCGCCTCATCCACACATTACCAAAGCATCCCTCAAAGAACCAAAATTGACGTATCCATTCTACATTCATGGCATTCCATTCATAGAGGAAACGTTTGCATCTTTGGAGACAAACCAAACATCCTAAAACCCCAAATTCATAGATGGAAAATGCTGTTTGGATCCGATGCCTGCAGAACGGTAACAATGCGAATAAAGTATCACTTCAAATTCCGGCCAAAATAATGCAGCATTCGAAATGAAAAAGAGTCAGATTTAAGTGACTTTCTAGTCGGATAATTGCCACAACTTTATTAGAGGCCAAACCAGTTGCAAAGAAGGCAACTTTATCAGTATGCATCACCTACAAAACACAAAATGGTACTGTAACCTCTCTCTCTCTTCTCTCCTCTCTCTCTCTCTCTCTCTCTCTCTCTCTCTCTCTTCTCTCTCTCTCTCTGTACATACAGGGTATCAATTACCTAGCTAGATTCAGCTTCTGTAATCATGCATACAAAAAAGTGCAAGCATCGATGGCTTGCACGAGGATTCAAAGGCATGTGGAATTTGTTGCTCAACATAGACTAGGCAACAACATTGTAATATCACCCTGCCCATCTTTTCAGCTTCTCCTGTGGATCCGAACCAGCAACCTGCTCTACGATACTGCAAGGTGCAATCAAAGTGGAACATTTTACTTCAGACCGTGAAACCAACATTGTTCATCAAGTTAGAAAAGTGTATATATCGATATTTATTCATACACATGAAGATGCCATAAAAACCAAAAAACAATAAGAAGCATTTTTTACTGAAGATAAAATGAATTTAACATACTTGGGGGACGCAGAACCAGGTTCGTTTGATGATGGATTTGGATAGTACTGAACTGAGATCAAATTGCCCTCTGCTCCTCCTGCAGACACTGGAGATCCCTCAAAGTTTACAGGTGAGCTTCTTCTATACGAAATTCCTGCATATAAACGCCAATAGAATGTGAATGTCAAGTAATGGGTAGGAAAATAAATATTTATAAATCCTTAATACAAAAAAAGGCACCGAGAAATTGTCCAATATAAAAAATTAAAATAAGAGAAAATAACCTTCCACTTCCATCCAAGTGTTTCAAAAGCCTAACTATTTCAATTTGATAAAGCCTAATGAGAATTAAGTAACTATTTAGTCTCCCTATGGTTGTCGACCATATGTAGTTAAGAGATTACGAATATCTGCGATATAATAACCTTATTTGACAACAAGACAAGCATAGTCTCTTGTTTCCTACTTCTCAGTTCTCACTAACAAAGAAATTAGTATTACACCTATCAAGAAAACAAAGGCATATCTCATTTAACAATATCGAAACAAATCTAAATAATAGAATAACAAAAATAAGAAAGTTAAAGGAAAAGTCTTGGGCTTTAGGGATCTCTAAAACAACAAATGTTGAGAAGCTTATTGAAGGTAAATAGAGTTTAATAAATATCTTCAATTGTAATAAGAAACAAATACGAATTATTTTGTGAATCACCTTTTTAACTAAAACATGCATTGCAGAAACAAACCCATTATTTTTCTGGGAATAACCAACAGAAATGTTAAAATAAGCATTGATGAGATACAAAAGTTCAAATTGTCAATCACAAAGAGCAAAAGTGATATGCACATCGCAAGTTCACCTTAACAGTTTGAAACTGTTTAAAACCATAAAACAACCAACAAACAAGTTAAGAACTATCAAATACCACAGATCTCGAGTTCAATAAAGAAATATTACCTTGTAAGATTAGCACGAGACAGAAGAGAATGGTGAGCAGCATGGCAAATGTGCTGCTATTGGAAGACGATGCCTTAGAAGCTTTCATCTTCTTTAAGGCTTTCATCCGCTCAATCCTTGCACGTTTCCACATGGCAATCTCAGAGAGTTCCTTGATTAACTTCTGGTCAGCCGCATCCAATGATGGGCCTCTTGGAGGTCTGGGAGGTTTAGGAGGCTTTTTATTGCTTGTCTTCTTCCGCTTGTCCTTCACCCGTGACTTCCCTACATGATCTATGCACTCATTCCCCTCCAGCACCTTGTTTGTTGCCACCTTCAAGTTATCGGGGCACACCACGCTGGAGTTGGACCCATTGCCACACAAACCGATTGTATCTTCAACTTTAGCTGTTCCATCCAACAGTCCGCCACAAACCTTAGCAATCAATGTCTTTGCCTGCTTCTTAGTACTCGAAACACCGCTATCACTTGAATCTTCTTCACTAACTACCACCCCATTTTCAAGATCAACTTCAAAGTCCTTTTCCCTTGGACTCTTTTGATCCATCACAAGCAACCAAACTCAAGTTAATTGCTAACTCCCTCCCCAGACTCCAAATGCGCAAAGCCACGTTACACCCCTCCCAAATGGAAACAACCAAATTTTGAATCTTGGAGTCAACCCATTAGAAGGAATGGCCTCTTCACAATATATATTATATTCAGAGGTGAAACTTGATAACAAATATATCTAGCTTCATCAAACAACAATTTCCAAATTAACTTGCAATTAAATCGAATACAGCTTAATTGAATGCAGTTTTACTTGTTTGACACGGCTCGGCGCTTTCCCAAAGAATAATCAACCAATAAACAACAGTGTCTCCCTCTTTTTTCCTCCCTTTCCTGTCAATCAACAAAACCCTCAAAGCATTAACAACAATACAAGCAAAACACAATACAATATACTAAAAACCCAAATGCAATGTGCATTCAATACTTGTCGAAAATCAAGAAATTAATCAACTTTATTCAATCCGAATGCGTCTCTCAGCTTCCAATTGCTTAAATGTACAAATTTAAGATTAAAAAGCAATGCTAAAATGAACCAAACCTGATCAAACAAAACTACATAATGAAAGATAAAGCAAAACCCATCAAAACCACAGCAATCGACACCCTTTATTATGCATCGCCATGAAATTTAACATTGCTTTCGAAAACCCAAAATTCAAAAAATTAAGAAATGATGGAAAAAAAATGCAAAAACTAAAGAAAAAGGAGAAAAGAGAAAGTAGAAACCTTCAAAAGAAAGCGAAGAAGCCCCAGATCCGATGCGGAGAAAGAGCTTACAGCGAAGATAGCGTCAAATATGGAAGCTTCAAGTGCTAATTAAAGAGAGTCAGAGTGAGAAGAGAGAGGGGGGGAGGGGAGGAGAGAGAGAGAGAGAGAGAGAGAGAGGAAGAAGGGAACGGACACGAGGAGTTTTAGGGGGATCACCGAGAAAGTGCAGGGCTTTTATATAATAAAATCAAATTTTGATTTCTGATTAAATATTGTGGCGCTATATCTTCGTCGGTTAAATACCACCGCAAACGACGCGCATCTCATGTTTTTCTTCTTCCTATTCCTCGCCCGCTTCACCGACACTTGCATGCCATTTTTTGAATCTTTGACTTCTCTTGTGGGGTTTTTTTTATTTTTTTTAAATCCCATTTGGCTTATATTTGGGCCAATTAAGGTTGTCCTTTGTGATTAGTGATAGTGAAGAGATCCGGTGCGGATCTCTCCCGTCAAAGGTCCAGAATCAAGTGATATGGACCGTTGAAATTTGATCAAATAGTTACAATTATTATAACTTTTATGAAGCTCCTGTTTGTAGCTGTTGGATCAAATTTCAACGATCCGGATCACTTCATCCTAGACCTTTGATGGGAGAGATCCGGACCCGATCTCTTCCCTTAATGATAAACACACTTCTTATTTTGAAACAAAGTGATGATCTTTATTGATTTTATAATTTGATTAGCATTTAAATCATGGAAATGGGTTTATGCTATACAATGTTTGTGGAATATTCTTTTGTTAGAAAGTCAATTAAGTTTACTTGTATGCATATTAGTCATTATGAAATCGTTTTAACGACAAAACGTATTAGAGAGTGTCTGATTATCCCAATAATCTTGTAATGCTAAGTTTAGGATTATATGTAGTTATGTAACTTTACCTAAAAGACATCGTTAATCTTATCTCTTTTTTACCAAATTCTCCTTTTTAATGGTAAAATCTCAATGCTAATGACGCTTTACAACAGTGTCAAAAAACAATTTATACTTATGCATTCTAGTACGGGTGATCTTCACTGATCCTCCTCCCCTAATAACTAACAAATGTTGGGAGACTATCTTAACGAAAAATTCTTTGGTCCTTGTATGAAAAGTTACCATCTCAATTATAAGATTAATTCAACAAGGTGTTTCACATACCATGTCAATAATGGTGTCTACAACTAAGAAAATATACGCACTTTCTGAATGAAAATTATTTATTTTTGAGATGACTAAGTATTATTTATTTGTTATACTTATACACTCACGATAGTTGCAATGAGCAAAAAAAAAAAAAAGGACGAACATAATACAATAAATAGACAAGAAAAAAATGTTCTTAACAACGTAAGTTATGCATACGAAGTTTTAGAATGGGTAACTATGAAAAAACCCCTTAAGGCAAAAACAATAGTCATTGTCCAAATATTTGAAAATGAGCTCAAGTTCTAATCATATTTGAGACTGACTTACCTACACCCTCAAAACGTGCATCATCAATGTCTCTTGAACCAATGAACATGATAATATGTGTTTTAAGTTTTTCACGCGCGCTCTTATATGATTGATTTAAGCACCGTCACTTTACCATCTTTGTCTCATATAACTTATTTTCTAGTGATGATAAGACATTGTAAAGAGAAAGACAACCGTATATAGTGTGGCTGGATTGAGATTTGAGAATTGAGACTCCCAATTTCTGGCAGTCCTCCAATCCATACGATTCAGAGAAGAATCCCTGCTGAGTAGTGCTGTCACCAAAACTTGATGAACAGAAGAAGATAAAAATGGAGGAGGGATAGGGATGGGTTATGGGGTTGGCCAACCATCTCACTCACTCACCAACTCTCTCCACGCCCACTATCTCCACGTGAATTAAAAATGGTGACACCCATTTTGTTTATACGTGGAGTTGTTTTTTTTTTTTTTATTTTTTAATAATTATGTGAAGTTGATCTGTTGATAATTGAGTTTATGTCCCATCGTTTAACATAGAGGACCCATTAGCAAAAGATATGAAACATTCATATGGATTTTGTGCTCCCTCATGTATGGTGCATGCATCGTTTAGGCGGGTGATTCCCCACAATCATATAAACATGATGATAAAATCTTTCGTATCATTGATTATAACTTGAATCTAATTATAAGTTTATTTTTTATTTTTTTATCACGTGATTAGACGATATATATGATATATCAAGTTGATAGTATAACTTGCTTACACATATGTTTGACATTTTATGTTTGTGCACAATCATGAGTTTATCTTTCTTGTGATATGACTAGTCACGTGATGAGAGAGATATGTAAGAGAGATATGTAAGAGAGAATTGAAGAAGTGGAAATGAGGAACTTGGGAGGGGAGAAGGGGTCTCGAGATCATCTCCGCTCATGCTCCTATTTGTAGTTGTACTCAACTAATTACGCATACGAATTTCTCATCACTACCTACCTTTGTTCCAAACCAAAACAACTTGTATATGTAGTAGTTGATGACAGGTTTTTGTTGAAGTTAGTACAAGCTGCTTTTGCGGGAGTGCTATTGTTGTAGCTATAAGCTGCTTTTGCCGGAGTGCTATTGTTGTAGTAGTTGATAAGTTTTGCTTTTTTACAAGAAAAGCTTAGGAACTTAAGACCATCTCCAAATGAAATGTCAAATTTTAAGTGGAATGTTATGTAATCAAATTTGAAGGTAAGAGCAAGCTTCAACCGATATGTGGATTGACATATGAGTTTTCATTTGTCAAATTTGACATATAAGAAAATGTGATGTCAAATAATTTTTTAATTATTTTATTGGGTGGGTTTCATTAATGTACCAATTATAGATCTTGAAAATTTATGTTAATTGAATTTTTTTTTAATGGGTCTTACAAATATCATTTATAATAAAAAAACATATCGGTTGAAAAAAAAAAAATCTAACATTACCACATCAACCATCAAATTAACATTTAATATTTATTTTTTGACATCTCCTTTTTGAGATGCTCTAAGACTTGAGATTAATGATATGAAAAGGTTAAGAAAAATGGTTGTTGTTGATGCATAAAATCCGAAGGATCTTGGACCAACGTAAATCCGGCCGTGAATCACACAAACACATAAGAACACAAAGATGTATCGTGGTTCACCCCAATGTTTGGGCTACGTCCACACTGATGTTGATTATGTATGTATGTATGTATGGATTACAATAAATCGGCAAGGGAGCTCTCTGTGGATGCAGCCTTTGCCATTTTGCTCTCTATTTGTCTGATAGGGTATTGCCCTCTATTGTTGTGAGGGATGTATGTGAGACCCTGTGGATCTTAGTGAAGGGTGAGCCCTCTCAATGAGGGTGAGGGAGAGTTCCTTTTATAGAATAAGGGCTCCCTCCCCTTTTACATTTGTCATGGGCTTAGGGATGAGACCCAAAGACGAGGCCCAATATATGGTACCAACAGTTGTAATCCTCGGAAAGTGATCCTTTCCGGATCTCTTCCACCAAGGCCACTGAATCAAGTGATCCAGGCATTTGAAATTTCATCCAACAACCCACCTGTTTTGATCTCTTAATCTTAAAAGCTATAATAATTTTTTGCCATTAGATTAAATTTCAAAGGCCCGGATCACTTGATTCGGTGATCTTGATGGAGAGATCCGTCCTCAGCCATATTTAGGAGTCAAAAGGTCCACGTAAGATTCTGTCTGGACAAATATTAAAGAGATTATCTCAATTTTTCGTTGAATTTCTGTCACCTCATATTGTTTGAAAAATATTTTATATGATAGGAAAGTTAACGTTAAACTGTAAAATGGCAAAAAATCCATACAAAATCTTATTTTAAGAGAATCTCGTTAGCATTTCTCTTGTGTTAAAACTGCACAATCAATCTAAACAAATAGATCAGTTATATTGACTAAAATGTTAGGCCTCGTTTGTTTGACCTCCTTAGCTAGGACTGGATTAGCTAGGACTAATAACCCATGTTTGGTGCAAGCCGGGATTGAGTTTAGTGGGATTAAGTCGGACTCGTGCCGACTAAATCCTTCCTTAGCTGGGCTTAGTGAGACCCCCCGAGAAGGAGGGGATTGCTAGTCCCGTTTCCCTGTCTTCCCTCTCACGCCGCGTCCTCGTGCTCGTCCTGCACGACTGCACCATCTCTGACGACGACTCGTCTTCCTCCACCCATCCCTTGCCGTCTGCACCTCCAATCCCTGCCCATGCCCATACCTAGCCCCACCCACCCGTGCCGTCTGCAACTTCAATCCTCACCCATGGAAGAATAAGTGAAGTTGGACGGGAAAAAAGGCAAAGGGAAGAGAGAAAGGGATTTGAACGGAAAAACAGAGGGAAGAGAGAGGAAGCTGAACAGGAAAGCTCACCATGGTTGCCATTAAATTGGCGATGCTAAGCTTGAGAGGGAGGGGGTTGGGGTTTTTTGGGGAAAGCCGGTGGTACTGCGAAAATGAGGGAGAAAAGGCAGAAAAAGGGGCGGAGATAAAAATGAATCTGGGAAGAAGATGATTCTTCAAATGATAAAATAATAATAATAAAAAATTAGTAGATTAGATTAAATTAATGATAAAATATTGTATATATAGATTTAATAATATAATATTAGAGTCCTGCTTCTTAATCCGGCACTGCATCAAACGCTTCACTAAGTCAGTCTAGCTTAGTCTAGTCTAAGCCAGTCCAGCTTAGTCCCTGAAGCTAATCCAGTCCGAGATAGTCCGGTGCAACAAACACACCCTTATAGTCTTAACCTATCGAGCTAGCTTCGTGATAAAAAGCAGTCACCACTCACCACCCTCACACTAACACTCACGTACGGCCGATACATATTCTCTCCGCGGCACCTGAATATACCGAGGCTTAGGCCTCTTATCTCGGGTCCAATTAGCTTGGATACATTCATAACCATTCAAAGGCGGATTGGCCCATCAAAAAAAGGAGTTGGAAACGACAATTGAAATTCAAACTGTTCAACTGTTATGATCCTTTGCCATTGGAAATTTATCAACTTAAGCAGACATTCATGTTGGTTTATCGACAGAAATTTTACTAAAAACAGAGTACACTACAGTTCAACCCGATATATAAAAGCACTGCACAAATTGACATAGACTAAAACTTGAAGATAGCAGCGCCGCTCGACGGCTTGGAAGCAAAAACATATAGGCCGAGATCGTTATTGTTTATGACGCCTCCGTCAATTCGCGACTGGTAGAAGCGTTCCTGATATGGAAAAAAAAAAACCCC